TTTAAAAATTTTTATCTAAAATATAAATAATAATAATGTCCAAATGCTTAATAAGGGTTTAATTTGATAAAAATTAAGCAGTTTTGTTCAAATATTTTATATAAATAACAACAACAATAATAATGGATTATGCCAAAATGCATAAGAAGATTTGCTTTTCAAGAATTTCACCCTTTTAATGAGTTTTATTTCTTTATTATAAGGACAGCTGTATCACACTGACATTTGTAATCTCCCCACACCCTAAAAAACTGCAAAAATAATTATAATTAATTATAAACATGCACATCAAGAGGTTTATTCAAGTCATTATATGCATGTAACTGCATTTCTAAATCTATTTTTGAATAAATGAATAGATCCAGACAAAAATAATGAGCGTAATCACTGACCCATTTCATAAAATGATTACTTATTAATTATTTATTTGCATTAATACATATATTATTAATACTTAACTTTACATTTATTCCAAACATTTATTCCAAAAAATACGTTAAAATAATACATAGATTTTTTCCTTTTCACCTGAGAGACAAAACAAAAATACATATTTTTGAGCCTTAAACCCCCCGGTTTCACAGACAAGGCTTAAGCCTAGTCCCAGACTAAAATGTAATTCTGAGCTGTGTCAACTGAAAGAAAATTGCACTGACTGATCTTAAAATATTTCAGTGCCTTTGTTTTGTCTCAAGATGCACACCAGTAATGTGTTTTCTAAGGCACATTTATGAAAAATTACTTAAATGTCCTAATTGAACTATGGCCTAATCCTGGCTTAGTCTAAGCCCTGTCTGTGAAACCATGCCAAAGGGTGTTAGCGTAAGCCTCGTGTGTCTCTTTTGTGGTTATCAGCCCAGGAGTTTGACTACTATCGCATACCACCTCACATATTAGGATGAACACCATTAAAAACAAGGTTTACGTTTTTCCACATAAACCGTTTCAAAAGTTAACTTCCTGAGATCTAACCTTGTTTCCCGGTCCGTCCTCGCTCCCCAGCTCCTGCGACACCCTGCTGGCCAGACTCGTGGCTGAAATCCTTCTGGGTTGTGTCACCACCACATTGCAAGGCTGCGCGGCCTCCCCATTAGCCAGGAGCTCCTCCAGGATGAACTGAGGAATCTGTGTGCTCTTCCCGCTTCCCGTCTCCCCAGCGATCACCAGCACACGGTGGCACCGCAGAGCCTCGAGCACCTGCTGTCGGTGCTGGAAAACAGGCAGCTGCTCCCTCTCGACCAGCAGCCTGCGAGCCAGAGCTGAGCTCCGCAGTTTGAGGTACAGTCTCCGGGACATCTCCTCCATCACAAAGCTTCCTCCGCACTGGGACTCATGGTCCTCCTGGATGTCCAGGTTCTCCCAGGAGTCTTCAAGTTCAGCATCCTGAAGACGTTCCTGCTGCACGGCCTGCGGTTGGAGGGTATGGTGCTGTTTGAGGCGGGTCAGAAGATGTGCAATGAACTGGTCACGTGGTTTGTTGATGGCGGAGCGGGTTTGCTCCTCTTCTTTTTGTTCGCCGTCTCGCCACTCAAGCCACACCTCACGTTAGGTGGGTGGCAGAAGCTGATGCACCGACTAATGGAGATCAAAGACGGATAAAATGAATGAAATACATAAAGCAAGCAACTATTTGTCTAATATGTGAATGTAGTGCTTTAAAACTCACCTGTGCTTGGACTAGGTTATAAAGGGCCAGCGTGGCTCCTAAGTGCTGGGCCTGCATGCCGTCCTCAGTCAGGATAGTGGGACAAACCTCCAAAACATCATTAGGCCTCTGAATGCGAACAAATCTGCATTCACTATACAATCAGAATCAAGATGCAATTTTAATGCAACATACCTGCATTTCCAATATCTTTCGACTGCAACTTTCTCAAAGGATGGTGGAGGGCTCTTCGGGAGGTTCTTCCTGCACCAATCAATCAGAAACTGTTTTGGCGACTTGCCAGTCCAGCTCCTTAACGTGTAGTCAAAGTTACGAATATCTTTGGGCTCTTTCTTCTTTTTCTCAGCTAGAGCATCAACAATGACAAATCAGACTGACACGGTTAAAAATAACTCAAGACATTAGAAAAAGAAAAACCCTCTGGCAACGCACTACATAGACACAATCACAGCACAGCAGAGCACAAAACAAAACAATGATTACATTTAATGATATAAAACTAAAAAAATATATCATAAAATAAAATAAATAAAAAACATAAAAAATCATAGCATATAGGATCAAATAAAATAACCAAAATAAACTAAACAAAGAAGTAAAATATGAAAATAACATAACAAATGTACATTAAAATGGTGTAAAAAAATCACAATATAACAAAACATAAAATAGTACAACAGCACAAAATAAAACAACAACAAAAACAAAAAGACAATACAAAAAAAAAAAAAAACAATAAAAAGTAACAAAATAAAATATAAATAAAACCCTACACAAACAATAATGTAAAATAACAAAATAGAATCATGTAAAAATATAATAAAAAAACAATAAAACAAATGTTATAAAAATGTTTTAGTTGTTTTATAATTTTTTTTATAAAACACATAAAAAAAACATGAAACATGAAACAATGACAAAATAAAATAACACAAAGTAAACTGAAAATATCAGCATAAAACTTAAATAAAATAGAAAAATGACAAACATTAAAACAATACATATTACATAACAAATACAATAAAATTAAAAATAAATTAAAAATCATGCAAAATAACAATATATTATTATGTTATTATATTGTCACAAACAATAAAATAAATAAATAAATAAAACGGCATAACAAAGTATAAAATAACAACATAAAAACAAAGCAACACATACATATATCATAAATATCACAAAATGAAAATAAACATTATAAAAAAAATAATTTTAATTTTTTGTAAATGATACACTGTAATGATTATATAAAAATTATCTTACTTGTTTCTGCTGGAGGTGTGTCTGCTTGCTCAAAGAGGCTGAAGTTGAGTTCCTCCTTGCCATCAGTGAGTGTAACTGGCTTCTTTTCCTCTTTGGGAGTGTCTTTAACTTTGATAGCCGAGTTAAACATTGGATGACTCTCCAAAGACTTCATTTCTGTAATGTAAACAAACACTGTTGAGAAACAACCTCATGATAATATTTTCTCAAGTCCTACAATGAACAAATACCCTGAAAGGTAGAAAACACTGCAGGCACTGAGACCTTGCTGGATGACTCTGATCCGATCTTGTGCAGTCCTCTGCCCTGCTTTGTCTTTCTTGGCTTTAAATTCTGCGGCCATCTCCTTCGCATCATACAGCTGAGCGGCCAGCGTCTCCTCCTGCATCTTTTGGCTGAATCCCTCCGGTAGCTCATCTTTAATTATGGAAAAGCGAAAAACAAAACCAGGGTTTATGCTTGAGGAGCAGAACTTACGTTTTCTGACTACAATCTGAACCTTTTACCATCTCTGAGATTCAGACAGAGCCAGTCGAGCGCTGAGTGCAGATCGCCTCCATACAGCATACTGCTCTTCATGGCCTCCTCGATGTGTTCGATCTTAAACTGGAACATCTGCAGGGCTGTATACAAATCCTGCCAAACAATATATGATAGATGTCCTTTAGATCATCTTAGATTATAAATAACAAAGTATATTATTTATTTTTTGCAATTACAGATGAAACGGAAAAGACTTACCAGCAAATTTTTGAAGGTGAGTCTGCCAGATATCGGTCTTTTATCAGCATGTTCTTGTCTGTAATCATTAATCAACTTGATCACCTTCTTCTCCAGTTCTGGTCGGATAACAACCTTCAAACATGCCTGAGCGGCCAGCGGCAGGTATCTGTCATTCTGCAGGAAGAGCATGAGAACTTACGGGAAGCTGCTGATGTAATAGTGACACGCAGAAACCAGATTGAGTAAAACTCACAGGATCAAACTTCTCCTCCAGCTCTAGGTTAAACACACTTGCGTCCTTGTTTTCATATTCTTCACTGCTCTGATCCTCAGACTGTTCAGAGTAGCGCAGTATCCACTCCTTCATACTGCCACCGTTGTCTTTTACAGAAGTCTGTCATTAAATAAAATGTTTTTGAGCTTTTTTAAATCTCAAAAGATTGAGTGAGTAGTTCACCCAAAATGAAAATGTGCTGGAAATCTACCCACTGCTAGGCCATATAAGTAGAACAGTTTGTTTCTTCATGGGAACAGATTTGGAGAAATGTAGCATTACATCACTTGCTCAGCAATGGATCCTCTGCAGTGAACGGGTGCCGTCAGAATGAGAGTCCAAACAGCTGATAAAAAGATCACAATAATTTACAAGTAATCCACATCACTCCAGTCCATCAACATCTTGTGAAATGAAGAGCTGTGTGTTTGTAAGAAAAAAACATTCAAACCATTGTTTCCTCCTAAAATATGAATCCATATATTTTCCATAATCCATAATATTGCTTTCTCTTGTCTGAATCAAGAGAGAAATATGCACAGATCAAGCACCGTTTACAAGTGAAAACAGTCCAAAACAGATCTAAAGAAATATGTGTGTGGATTTCGATGTGGGAGGACAACAGGGGATGGACTTTTCCACTGGAGGTGAGGTGAAGAATGTGTTAGAATGGATTATGGATGCATATTTTGGCCAGAAGAGACAGTTTGAAGTTTCTTACAAATGCAGACGGCACCCATTCACTGCAGAGGATCCACTGGTTAGCAAGTGATGCAATGCTACATGTCTCCAAATCTGCTGAAGAAACAGACTCATCTACATCTTGGATAGCCTGAGAGTGAGTAAACTGTCAGCAAATTTTCATTTTGGGGTGAACTATTCCTTTAAGGAAAATGAGATTCTCATGACACTTTAACACACCTTTGCCTTTGGTTTCTCGTCCTCTTTAGATGCTTCTTTTTTGGCCACCGTTTGTTTCTCGTCCTCTTTAGGAGCCTGAAACATGGGGCGAGTCTTCTGTTTCTCCTCCTGCATCTTTTGGCTGAATCCCTCCGGTAGCTCATCTTTAATTATGGAAAAGCGAAAAACAAAACCAGGGTTTATGCTTGAGGAGCAGAACTTACGTTTTCTGACTACAATCTGAACCTTTGAGATTCAGACAGAGCCAGTCGAGCGCTGAGTGCAGATCGCCTCCATACAGCATACTGCTCTTCATGGCCTCCTCGATGTGCTCGATCTTAAACTGGAACATCTGCAGGGCTGTATACAAATCCTGCCAAACAATATATGATAGATGTCCTTTAGATCATCTTAGATTATAAATAACAAAGTATATTATTTATTTTTTGCAATTACAGATGAAACGGAAAAGACTTACCAGCAACTTTTTGAAGGTGAGTCTGCCAGATATCGGTCTTTTATCAGCATGTTCTTGTCTGTAATCATTAATCAACTTGATCACCTTCTTCTCCAGTTCTGGTCGGATAACAACCTTCAAACATGTAAAAAACTATTAGTATAGTAAGGCAAGGCATGGACAGATATTGTCAATAAAAGACGTTTATATTCACACAAATGTTTAAAATTTGGGGTCAGTATGGATTTTTAATGTTTTGAAAAAAAGTCTACTCAACCAAGGCTGCATTTATTTGATCAAAAATGCAGTAAAAACAGAAATACTGTGAAATACAACTTTTCAAATATTTATGGTTTTCTGATTCACTTCTCAATAAACATTTCTTATTATTATCAGTGTTAAAAACAGAATATTTCCATTTTTGAGGATGTTTTTGATGAACAAATCTTTTGTAATATTATAAATGTCTTTATTGTCACATTTGATCAATTGAATGAGTCCTTGCTAAATAATAGCATTAATTTATTAAAAAGAAATTCTTACTGATCCAAAGTTTCTCTCAACGGTAGTGTACATTAGAGCATTTATGTGCTCAAATCCATTCATTTGTCAGAAAATTGCATAACCACATAAATTAAAAGTTGTTTAAGTAGGTCCATTTTAACAAATGTTATTCGTAGACTGGAAGATAGAGTATGTTTTCATAGCTCACTGATTGAAGGAAAATCATATGTGATCTCTTTAATGTGAGACTTACCTTCAGTACTGATTTATCAGACACACTGCTAGTGTCAGTCAGTGCATTAGTGTTAAGACCATATGTTTTGGGAGCTAAAAGAAAAAAAAACAATAAATATTAAAGACATTTGCAGACAAACTGTCAAGACGTGAAACATATGCAACACTTACTGTATAATACCTCATTGATTTTTACATTACACCGTGCATCTGAATTCAAATAAGCAGAAACATTGTACAAATAACACAACGAATGATCATATGCCCCGTTTAGATGTACAGCTGTTTATGTTATTCACATAATAGGCTAAAATGCTCATTGTTTCGCATGTGCTTTTATCAGAACGCTTTATCATGGCCATATGACAATGTTTTGCTGTGTAGCTTACGTGGATGATACTAAACACCAAACACAGCACGACTCGAACACATTTCTGTCGGTCCTCGTTTTTTTTGTCGTTTATTTTCAAGCTGTAAACTGTGTCCCTAGTTGCTGTGTATTTTGCTGCATCATAACTTTCACAACTTTCAGTGACTGCAATTAAACTCAAATGTCGTTAGATGCATGTTCAAATAAAGATCTTTTAATGTTAGCTGGTGCTGTTTTGTTGCCTTTTTCCTGTTTTTTTGTCGAGCCTTGTAACAATTCAAAAAATAAATAATTAGCAGCTGAGACATGTTGTTTATGGGTTTTCTGAGAGCTAAAATGCGATTTAAGAGAAGAGAGACCAAAAGGGGGGGGTCATTTTGTATGTATACTAAACACACACACAGGAAGAGTTAACTTTTCCAATTTTATTCATGCATAAATACATGCAGCAATGCACTACACATTGTAGCCGTTATCAGAGTGCATAGACATTACAATAAATGAATTCTATTCAAATGTAATTATATAGCACTTTACAATGTTGCATTGTGTTAAAGCAGCTTTACATGAAGAACAACGCAAAACCAGGAAATAATTAAATATATGGAGTCCAGAACAGCACAACCAAAAATTAAGCTTTAGCGTTAGTTCTGGCAGGTCACGTGAGTCAAGCTTGCATCAGCTGATTCTCAGCTGATCACATCTACCTATAGGAATACGGGGGGTTATTATTGCTGCTCTCCCTGCTCATTCATGACAGGCTGCATGGATGGGCAGGGAGGTTTTTGCCCAGAACAGAACCATACCGCCAAACCAAACTTTATGCTAAGTATCTATCATTTTGACGATAGTGGTCCTGACAGAACCTATGCATCTGTTAGTCACATCTTCAGGATGGGCGTCATATCTTCATTGTCATTGAGCTGGGGATTATATGGGCATCCTGAGGTAAGGTGGAAGGGCAGACAGAGAATAATTAGCTGCAAATGCAAATAACATTTTGTGTTTTTTGCATTTGATCTTGTACTATTAAATAGTAGATACAGGATGGATTTTGTAAAGTCTGGCTTAAAGAGATGTTTTTATAGATTTAAGTGATGACTTACTAATCAAATGGTGCATAGAAATCCTATTACAAAATTAAACAGGGCATTGGCATCCAGGACAAACAAAACAACTTTTATATTGGGTTGGTTAACACATTCCCAGTGAAACCACCCATTACAGCAGTAATAGCAGACCCAAGAGTCCTGTGTATCTTGTGTGGATGGATATTTGTCCCCACATGCCAAGTCTGAAAGGTCATCTATGGAAATAAAAGCATCAACATAATGCACTTAATATTGATGAAACAAATGATGTGTCAGTTGTATGTGTATATATATATATATATTGTTTTGACGATACCACCGTGCATGGGTACCGATTGGACTGGTGTGGAATTCTTTGAAAACCTGTTTTGCCTCCTCTCTGCAGCATAACACCTTGGCTAACCCACCCTCTTCCCGTCTTCTTATATAATACAAAACTTCATCTAAAGGCAGTACATTACTGTACAATCCATTATCTTTACACCCCAGAAGACTCATCCAACCAAGATCTACATAAAATCAAATATGCCTTTCCCAAAAGCACATATTTTTGGCTTTTTGTTAAATCAACAATGATTGTCCCAGACTTTTTTAAAGAGCACAACAAGAGGAAGGTTTTCCTATCCATTTTTGAAATCCAGCTAACAAAATGTTTGGTTGATGGGCATGGCCTATTCATCAGAGGCTGTTATTTATACTATTTAATATAATTATTTAACTCAACACCACAGCTCATGTATGTTGCTTAACAAATTGGATTCATGTAGCTAGTTAATAAAAATGTTCATTACTTCTTTTAATGTTTAATTATATGTTACCCTCAGTGTGCAAGGACGATGGGCAAGGAACAGCTTGCCAAACACAGTATTATAAAGTTTGTTTGTTTTTTTCGGTTTGGACTGTTGTTGTTCTAATCATTGCTATAACCACCTATCACATTTTTGTATTTTCCAACTTGCTTTAAACATACATGTGTACATGTATGCAAATTAGTGTAAACATACAAAAACATGAATTGAGGACATGTGCCAGTAGTTTCTTGCAAAATCTGTATTTAAACAAAAGTTAGATACAGCTGAGTTTTAATTTGTGTCATTTATGTTTCTTTAATTTATTTTGTAATATCTTGTGTCTGTGCAGCCAGAGAAAATATGCATTCTGACAACGGCAACAAAGTGTAATGCATTGCTGCATGTATTTATGCATGAATAAAATTGGAAAAGTTAACTCTTCCTGTGTTTGGTGTTTAGTATCATCCACGTAAGCTACACAGTAAAACATTGTCATATGGCCATGATAACGCGTTCTGATAAAAGCACATGCGAAACAATGAGCATTTTAGCCTATTATGTGAATAACATAAACAGCTGTACATCTAAACGGGGCGTATGAACATTCGGCTTTATTACCTTTTCAAAAGAATTCCTCACACAAGAGCTGAAGAACACACAACACGATCCTCTCCATTCGCTTGTTTGTAGTTCAACAGGCCACGCCCACCGCGGAACGCTCTAACCCCGCCCACCGGTGCGTTCGGACGCTGCAGACTTCTTCTTCTTCCCACCCATTGCGAAAACAGCCAGTTCAAGTGTTTGTTACTGATCAATACACAAAATAATCCACACTACTATAAACAAAAACACGTATAATGTAAATGTTTGAAGCTGGAAAATGAAGAAGACTCAGCTAAGCCGACTCTATCAGCGGCTGTGAAGACGGAAACACAAACTAGCGGAGCCGCTTTCAAAATAAAAGTTCAGCGGGTACTTCTGAAAACTTCGGATTTTTACTTTATGCATGAGCGAAGTGTTCTAGTGAAAATATAATGACTTTTAAATCGATTAGAATTTATTTAGGCAATAACAATATATCGTTAGGACGATTTCTTTAATCACTTTAGACAAAATAATTGTTGAATTATTAAGAATGACTGAACCCATCTATTAGTTTTACATACAAAGTAAATGTACAAACATTTAATAAATAACAATGATAAAGTTTATTTACTCAAAAAAAAAAAAACAGTACTAAGAAAAAGATTGTGTGGTTTTATTTATTAAAACCTGTCGCTTGAAAAGTGTTTCAATAAAACTAATTCAATTCCAAACTCAAATTTTTCTTAAATAAATGATGGATTTTTAAAATGTTGATTATTTCAGAGAAGAGTCTTTTGGCTGTCTGTCTTTTACCGTCGCTCAGTTTACACGTCATTTCCGCCGCGCTGTGGGGTTTGTGTGTTTGAAGTCATGGCGGACGCTTTTGGAGACGATTTGTTCAGCGTGTTTGATGAAGAACAGGCCGGTTCTAGCAAAAAAGACACTCCGAAGTCGGCCGCTCAGGCAGGGTAGGTGAACGAACGGGGTATTTGATAGTTTCGCACAACTGAACTGCAGATATTGCAGTAACTTATTTGTCTGGCCGCACTGAACACATGTGACGCGCGCTCACAGAACGCTTCACAGATCTGCTCCAGCTTTCAGCACCTCTCTTCGGTTGTTTTATTTTTATATGTATATATATATATATATATATTATTATTATTTTGTGTGCAGGTTGTAATAAACGAGCTTGCCTCACTAAAAATCCCATAGACTTATATGTTAAAAAACCCTCAAATGTAAACACAAGAACAGGCCGGTTCTAGCAAAAAAGACACTCCGAAGTCGGCCGCTCAGGCAGGGTAGGTGAACGAACGGGGTATTTGATAGTTTCGCACAACTGAACTGCAGATATTGCAGTAACTTATTTGTCTGGCCGCACTGAACACATGTGACGCGCGCTCACAGAAACTCAGGAATAACGCTTCACAGATCTGCTCCAGCTTTCAGCACCTCTCTTCGGTTGTTTTATTTTTATATGTATATATATATATATATATTATTATTATTTTGTGTGCAGGTTGTAATAAACGAGCTTGCCTCACTAAAAATCCCATAGACTTATATGTTAAAAAACCCTCAAATGTAAACACACACACGGCCTTTATTCTTCTGTCTGTCTGACTACACTAGACAACGCTTAGCACTGCCCTGGAGAGCGCCGGATGTCGGTTTGGGGATGTCCAGATGTCGAGTGACTCGTTGTTGTCTTTCCCTCCAGCAGTAAGAGTCCTGATAACGCGGGGGAACAGCAGGGAGATTCAGCTGCTGTGCGCAAAAGAGATGCTGACACTGATGGTCCAGATGAGGTGGTGCTTGGGAAGAGACCGAAGCTGGAAACTGTGTCAGCTGAGGAGATCAAGTAAGAGTTGTGTACTTATGCTTACATCAGGGGTGCCCAAACTCGGTCCTGGAGGGCCGGTGTCCTGCAGAGTTTAGCTCCAACCCTAATCAGACACCTGAAGCAGCTAATCAAGCTCTTACTAGGCATACTAGAAACCTCCAGTCAGGTGTGTTGAGGCAAGCTGGAGCTAAACTCTGCAGGACACCGGCCCTCCAGGACCGAGTTTGGACAGCCCTGGTTTACATACTGCTTCTGATGAATGTCTGAAATGCTTCTTAGTGTGCTTGTACAGGTGGATTGACATTGGTTTTACAGACTAATCGGCACCAATAGTTGCTTTTTGGAACTGCCGGTTATTGGCGTAAATCAATGGATATATACAGTATGTGTGTATATATTCATTTTGCACTGGAGGGTTTTATGATTGAAATGGGAGAAGCCTGTTTTATAGTGTTTGTGTTTTTTTACTGAACTTTTAGAAGCTAAAAGAAAAAATAGCATGGTAAAATATACAATTTTAATAAAATAAAAACAATATTTAATAAAATTGTCAGTAGCTGACAGACATTTTTATTTAATGTATTTTATTTGGTAATTACAAAATATTGTAATCATATTTATTGTATATTTTTATATATTTGTCATTTTTTATTATATGTGTGTATATATTCATTTGGCAGGAAGGTTTTACAATCCACAAAAACAGCCTGTTTCAGTTTTTCAGGGAAAAAAATGGTAAAATATAATTAAAAAAGGTCTTTGTCAGTAGTTGAAGTAAAGCCATTTTTATTTATTTTAATACGTTTTATTTAATATTTACAAAACATTTATATCATCATTATTGTAACTTCTGCAAATTATTATTGTGTAGTGTAAAATGTTTTAGGTTAATTTGTAGGTGCAGGAGGGTTTTACATTTAAACATGCTATTTTTAGTTTCTTATTATTATTTTACTTTAAGAAGCCAAAAAATAACATTAGCACGTGAAACATAAAAATATAATAAATGATCTGTGTCAGTAGCTCATGAAACAGTAATTTTTATTTATTTTAATATATTTGACAATTAATAAAACATTTTCTTTGTCATTATTATTATTATTATTATTAATTTTGTAATAAAGATTGAGTGGGCCATTTTTTCATGTTATTCATTAAACTGTCAGTTGAGTTTTCGGTTTTCCGACCTTAGCTATCTCTATGGACACAATCCACTCTTGGTTGACCTGTAGTAATTCATATCATTTGCATCTGTGTCGTCCTTCAGTCTGTCAGAGCTCATGCCTAAAGTCAAGGCGGAGCAGGTGGAGACAGTGGAGGGCTGCACTCATGAGGTAAAAACACAAACACAGTGGAGAAAAATACATCTCTGTTTAATGTCCATGTTGTGACCCGATCTTCCTTTCTCAGGTGGTTCTTCCTGCAGACGAGGAATACACTCCACTGAAACCACGCGTTGGAAAAGCAGCTAAGGTAATCTAATAAACCTCACTGAACATCCTCAGACAACATCGATGCTTTACCTTTGTTTAAACAGGTTTTGCTTTGCTCATGCAGGAGTACCCCTTCATACTTGACCCTTTCCAGCGTGAGGCCATCCTGTGCATCGATAACAACCAGTCTGTGCTTGTGTCAGCCCACACATCGGCAGGGAAGACAGTGTGTGCGGAGTGAGTGTCCATTAAATTGAAAACCTACAGTATACATATGGTTGATTCTTCTGATCAAAGTGAGTCTGTGCTGAGATTTGAGACTCTTTTTTTCCCTTCTGCACGCAGGTATGCCATTGCTCTGGCTCTCCGAGAAAAGCAGCGAGTGATCTTCACCAGCCCCATCAAAGCTCTGAGCAATCAGAAGTACAGAGAGATGTACGAAGAGTTCCAGGATGTGGGTCTGATGACCGGTGACGTCACCATTAACCCCACGGCTTCTTGCCTGGTTATGACCACCGAGGTGAGACAGCAGCCCGTTATCCACTGGAACACCAACGACTGGCTCTTTATTTATTTATTGTTTTGTTGGGGTGTTTTCTTTCAGATTTTGAGGAGCATGCTGTACAGAGGGTCAGAGGTTATGAGGGAGGTGGCATGGGTCATCTTTGATGAGATCCATTACATGAGAGACTCAGGTGGGTTGTACTTAATGTTTAATTGGCAGATGATCACCTGAAATTAGGGCTGTCACGATATCAGATATTTCACTACATGATTATCGTGGGGGGGGGATCACGATAACGATATATCACTATATCTATATTAGTCTTAGGGTAGTAATTGTTCTATAGAAGTCTATATATGGGAGTAGCTGTTAAAGATGTTTCGACGAGCCCTTGATAAAGCAAATTAATAAAAGAACAGGTTATAAAGACACTTCATATTTAATAGTATTTGATGATTTGTTAATTGCATTTAATATATTATACTTTCAATGAAACATTTGCATTGGGTCTTTTTGGGTTTTTTGTTGCATTTACAACGTTATGACCAGCAGGCATCACCAGCGTGTGGCGTTTTGAGTGATTCGAAACAGTGAATCATTTTGTGAAGCAAATGGTTCAATTGATTTAAAGCTTCGAAAAGGTTCGTTTCTCTCATCAGTACAGCGTCAAAACATAACAGTCTATGAAAATAACCATGTATTTTCACCCCAAACTCGAATTATAGTGTCAATCGAGTTTTGAAATAACTTCTTTCTGTGAACTGATGAGGCCTCTATACAGTATTTTACACAGTGCTAAAGGCTATGTCGATTAGCATTGCATTATAAATAAACATCCTTATGAAAAATGCCAGAGATGACTTGAACACAGATAAACCATATACTGTTGCAGTCGTGTAGTAATTCTCTTCACGTTTCATCAGTCAAATATTTCTTTCTGCATTTTATTCCGCTACAGAGATAGCTGGATGCCTTTGTCCATATAAGGGATTTCCTGGAAAGTCATTTGTTTTAGATTATTCCTATGAACTTCCTGTGCAATGGTGCCCTCTGGTGTGGGGTATGAATGAAACAAATTACATGTGAGAGTTTAGCGCCGTGTACTTTTTGAAATATCATGGTTATCGCTAATAATGTTATATCACGACACCCCTAATTAACACGATAACGATATTTCATTTTTTGAATATTACGATTATTGTCAATACCGGTATATCATGACTCCCCTACCTGAAATATTGGCCGTTTACACACTGCAGCTAAATTCGGTTGTCAGTTCACCTTTAGTGCACACATTTCAATATTCTATGGCAGTGACAACCTCATTATACAACCGAAATTACTCCTGAAAAAATCAGATAGTGATAACGGCATTTACAGAAATGATACGCCGTGTGTACAGAACTGAACAGCTAGTTGTTAATGATGTATTTAAATGCAGTTGTGTCTGTCTTCTGTATGTGCGGTGCAAGAAATCACAGTGAATCAGTTACATTTTGACTCATTAGTGTTGCCAGATCTTGCTCAAATAACTAAAAAACAGCA